AGTAGTTGGGTGGGTGACCACCAGCGAATCCCGGCTGTTGTATGTTTTTGTTTCAACTATCTTGATTTTGTGTTTATTTTTGATGGCCTTGATTAATTAAATAGTTAAATTTTCATAGTTTTTCAATTTTAATCTTATAGTTATCAACTACTATGCTGTCAGCGAACGTCCAGCGGGCCTCAGGCGCGGGCCACCGCCTCACCTGGATAATAGTTCACCAAACTCTGCACACACGAAGTAGAAATAGGGGCAATCGAACAGCTTGGCAAGAACCAAGCGGTTCGTTCTGATCATTGCAATACAAACACTCTACTCAGTGAATCTATATCACCTCGAATCCTCGTAATCGTGGCCACGGCTCGCAGCCTAGTCGATGACTCCCCGCTGGCTAGGGACCTCCTAAGCAGTCAACCTCTGGCTTGCTTACATATACTATCTACTATACTATTACAATATCTCTAGAAAATAAATAATCTCATATAGAATATATGATTATTGTTATTATCATCATACTAATCTAGATCTAAAATATTAATTTAATATCTATGGGGTTGAATGAGTGGTAGCTAATAATCATTCTTAGACCATAGACCATAGTAATTATCAAAGGGCTAGTACTAGATATAAATAAACCACCACTTTCATACTACCCCCTAATAGAAATAATTATTCCCTTATATGTTAGCAACAACTAGAGATATTTTAAATTAATATTTGTATATTTAGATAGCCTAGATCTAGGGCTATCTAGCGATTTTTTAAAAAATTAAAGAGAAGTGCTAGTAATTAGTAATTTCTATCTAAAACGGTGCAGGTTGGTTAGTCAAATCTGATAAATTCTCAAAAACCGTAACCAATGGTTTTAACCGAACTCGAATCGGGTTCAACCTAGGGAAACCGAAATCGGTGCGATTCCCTAGGCTAGGAACCGAACCCTCACCGCTGCGGGTTTGGTGAGGGTTGGATTCGATTTTAGCGGTTCGGTTATGCAACTCTAGCCGAAGGGAATATATTAAAATCCGTACAGGAAGCTACTTAATAGTCCTTGTAATCACTGCTACTAGATCAAGTACTAGACTTCACATGACTAAGGGATCAAATACAATCTGCGTCTCCTAGGACTATGGGTTTACCTTCACTATCCCAGTGGTACAACAAGCCGGTTGCGTAAGGAGATGTAGCTTGTTGCAAGTCGACTTAGGGAGATCACTGTTTTGAACGTTAACAAGTCAATGATAACCCACATCCATCAGGTGGTGGCCAATTTTATCCGGGCTCCGCTCCCAGTCTCCTTGGTATTTATCATTCGGTCGTTGTATGACTCTTGAGCTGGATATCTACGAAAGCAAAATGCGTCTGGAGTCTGCATGGTGAGTTGAGACCAGGGTAAAAGAGATTCGCTTCCGTTCTGTTGGGTCTGTTGGGTCAGCAACGTATCGCGTGACATATTGGGCAAGGTCTGTGATGAGGCACTCAGGAATAACATGCAGGTCTTTCGTTTTGGTCCATTTTATACTAGCAAGGCGGATATCTTCAAGTCTTCCATCGCGCGGCCCCAAACGGCCCTATATCCATCCCGGCGGACAACCTGGGGCTCAGCCCAGCACCTCCTCATAATTCTCAGTGCCGTACCACAGTTGCTGAACCCAGGCTCGGGTCCATCCAGTATCTCCCGCATCAATTTATCGAAGAAGGATTGTTGGTCCGAGTCTGCTAATGAGCCGGCGATACAGAGCGGCCAGGCCAGGCCTCGGCGGGAGAGATGTCGGGGCACTCTTCGTATCGCGGAGATGGCCTCATTGACAGCAAGGTTGATATTGTAGCGAGTTACAGCATAGTCTGCGGTTAAGGCATAGAGCTGGACAAGAGCAGCAGCAGCAAAGACACGAGTTACAGAGTTGGACACGGACTCTGTCTCTGACGGAAAGCCTGTTGGCTGTTCAAGGTCAGCTGGCGGTCGGGTTTGGAGATAGAAGTTGGAGCATACACTGTTATTCGTCTCCAAGGAGGCCATGTTCTCCATAATATGCCGATTTATTTCCATAGCCTTGGCGTTGAAGAGTTCACTCTCCATGGAATCAGCACGCGCGGATAGCGTGGCGATGTCCCCTATGGCTATCATTGCCCAATTTTGACATCCTGTAACGCAGGAGATGTCCATGCCTTCCAGCGCAAGCCACTCTCTGTAAGCCATCTTTGGCGGAGCTTCCCTGGCTACGCACGCTAGAAGATCGAACCACAAGAGGTTACAGATCAGAAACCTTCGGGCCGCAACGACGCCTCTTGACGTTTCGATGCCTTCGCCATCAGGGTGGGTTTGTTGGTTGCCGAGGTCGATGGGGTCTATTTGGCCGACCAGGGATGTGAGAGCGTTTAAATGAGTTTCCCAGTTGGTGGTGCCACCTTGGAAGACCTGCCCCATGTCAGCCAAACTATAGAACATAAGCGGAGGATGCAACATCAGCGAAGCGTGTTGGAGAAGCTCACTTCAAAGCTCATTAGTGCTGTGCCGCATGATACGAACTCCAGCCACTGTTCATGATGTGTCGTGAAGCCATCGACTTCCCGATGAGTCAAGACTTGCCGAAGTTCCCGCATAGCATTAGTATGATATCTAAGGAGCTCTCGCTCTGTATCTATCGTGGTGAAATGGGACCGCGTATGTTCATGCAAAGCTGCTAGCGTCAGTGCGGCCTCCCGTAGTGGCCCCTTCTTGGTTAGAAGCCAGAAAAGCCACCCTCTGCCCCCGAGATAAGGGTTGTCTCGGTAGTACGGATACTGCATAGGGAAGATGTAGTCAAGGTAGTGAGTCAGAAGTTCTGCTTCGCGGAAGCTCATGTGAATATTCCGCTTGGGTTGTTGGGATGTGCCCGGCGTTTCATGTTCATGTCCAGCTTGCAAAGGCAATCGGCTATCATCCTTGGCCCTTCTCGCGAGTCGCGCATTTTGAATCTTCTTGGTTTGCCGAAAGTTCTCCTTCACGGCGCGCTTAATACGCTGGAGTTCTTTCTTGAGGTTGACCGGATCTTGAACCCAGCCAGGCTGGGGCCCGTACCCGTGGCAGTGGATACGTCGCTCAGTACACTCCCTACAGGCTGGGAGGGACTCGTCGCATTTCCGGTGGCGGATACGGCACGTCCAGCAGCCATTATTGCTGCGTGCGCCCTCCGGCATGACAGTAAGAAAAGGCGATAGAGCGAGATGAAGTCTCAGTGGGGTCGCAGCTAAAGAATCTGGGGAATTCTGAGAGCTCGTGTCGACATGCCTGTCGTTAATTTATCATCGGGCGGGCTGCTGATAACCTCCTTTGGGTAGAGTCTCGGCAATCCGGGGATGGGGAAACATGACAAACATGACTGGGAAGGAAGGTCGAGCCGAGTTCCTTGGCGACTTACAATACGATACGATAGATACGATACGATACGGTCCTTTCAGAGATGTTGATTTCGCAGACGACCAGATCCCATCCACTGCACTATACCTACTGGACGACTCGGAGAGAATGTGTGGGAGAAAGGTATCTGGCTACACATTTGACTTCGCCTGGTCAAGTCCATGCTACTATGGAAGCTGTGAAGCTGCCCTGCGTCGTGATATCGGCGCTGGCTCAACTAGACATGCGGGCATTGTGATAACCAGAATTTCCAGAATCGAAAGTACATGTCCCTCACCTCCACACAACACATAGCACCCTCGTACAGGCATGAAATATTCAAGTCTCTAAGAGGAGCGACTTAATGTCAAGAGCCCCACCAGTTGACACTGAGCGTTGAAGTACCATCTTTTCACGAGAGGTACGGATGAATGTCCCAGCATAGCTGCAGTCTTTCTTCCATTAAGAACGTCTCGTCCCTCAGCGCCTGCGAAATAGCTGTCAATGCCATACTGAAGTTGCTCGCGCGTCGGCCATCCCGTAGCCAGGGCGCAAGAAGGTACCTGGCATTTCGAACCAGTGGCCTGGTCCAACATACCTGCCTGTAATTCTCCAGCAATCGATTGTAGGATGCAGCAGTTCCTCAATGCGTGGAAAACAGACCACGCCATCAGCAGGCTTGACCCATTCAACGCTCTCAATCCAATTAACACCCACCTCACGACCTTAATAAGTGGGCCTTTGCTTCGATCAAGCCGTACGCCACCATGGTCCTGCTGGATAGCGCCTTTCAAACACGGCGCTTGATGATGTGTTGCTAAATCGGACACCCCGGCCCGGTCTGGGTAGGCAGGGCGTTCTGCCGGCACGAGCTTCTATGTCGTCGGCTCGACTATCCGCCGTCCCCATGGTCTATCCACCAACTCTGAGCGTCGCCGGCACGAGCTTCTACTTCTGACCATCCATTTTCAAAGATCGGAGGCTCCATCTGGTGCTCGCGGAGAGTAGGCATTAGACACTCGCGGAGGTAAGCTTCCCCCGACCTTGATAAGGGATACTCTGGTATAAAGCTGCGCCGCAGGACCATTTTAGTCACTGCCCACCATCCTCTCGCATTTACATATTCTCAGGAATTACAGTTCTCACACGACCTTTACCCTACCAATGGCCTCTGAGACATTCAACCTTGTCGATGCGGGCGTCCGCGATCTCAAGAGAGCCCTGGACGCGGGCGCCATCACCAGCGTCCAATTACTCACCATGTACCTTCAAAGAATCGCAAAATACGACTGCAACGGCCCCGCCCTCAATTCGATCCCACTGCTGAACCCCAAGGTCTTTGAGGAGGCACAGGCATCCGACGACTATCGCGCCTCTGGTCAAAAGCCACGGCCTCTGGAAGGCATTCCATTCACAGTTAAAGATAGCTTTAAAGTTAAGGGCATGACCGTCGCAGCTGGGTCGCCTGCCTTTGCTGGTCTGAATTCCACTGATGACGCGATGATAGTTTCCTCCCTCCGCAAAGCAGGTGCTATCGTTCTCGGCAAGACAAACATGCCAGCGATGGCGGACGGCGGTGGCCAGCGGGGTCTCTACGGCAGGTCAGAGAGCCCCTACAATCCTGAATACTCCACTACGGCATATGCCTCTGGGTCTTCAAATGGTGCAGGGACGTCAACAACAGCGAGCTTTGCGGCCTTTGGCTTTGGTGGGGAGACTGTCTCGTCTGGTCGCTCACCCGCCTCTAATAATGCGCTCATCGGATACTCACCTTCAAGGGGTGTGATCCCACTACGGGGGCAATGGCCGCTTTATCCTACGTGCGATGTCATTGTCCCCCTTGCGCGGTCGGTGAAAGACCTTGTGGAAATCTTGAATGTTATTGTGGTGGATGATCCTAACCCTGCTGGTGATTTCTGGAGAGGCCAGAGTGTCTGCCCTATTCCACTCTCTTCGCAAATCCGGCTTGCGAATTACCAAAGCCTGGAGGACCCGCACTCACTTCAAGGAAAGAAGATTGCAGTCCCCATGCGTTACATCGGAAAGCAGTCTCCTACAGCTCTCAAAGCCCCTGATGCTCTTGCCGATTCTGTCCACGACCTGTGGCTGAAGGCTCGGACTACCTTGGAGTCTCTGGGTGCAACGGTAGTTGAGACCGACTTCCCCTTAGTTGACAACTACGAGAAGAAGCTATACCCTGGCCAGAGCGCTAACGTTCCCGGAATGCCAGCCGATTGGATGAACATCGAACGCTGCCGGATGATCGCAACTGGATGGGACGATTTCCTCCGCGCCAACGGCGACAAGTCTTACCCGAATTTCACTGTCGCTAACCCAGACATCATCCACCCCCATGTTGCTCCTATGGACGATCCGACCATGCACACCGAGGTCGAAAATCACGTCCGCTACGTCGATATGATTGAAACTGTCCGACACCGTGATGGCACCGTCTATGACTTGCCAGGGTGCGTGGACGCTATCAAGGCCCTCGAAGAAATGCGGAAACGCGACTTGGAGGACTGGATGGACTCGAATGGTTTTGACATGGTGGTCTTCCCGACCAACGGAGATGTTGCCCGGGCAGATTCCGAGGAGCTTCATGAATCGATGTTGCACGCCCTGCAGGAAGGTATCAAGTATGCGAACGGCGGCCGCGCACTCAAGCATTTGGGAGTCCCGGCAATCACCGTCCCCATGGGGAACATGGCTGATAAGGAGATGCCGGTGGGTTTGACGTTCCTCGGCAAGGCCTACAGCGACAACGACCTCATCCGTTACGCCTATGCCTTTGAGCAAGGACGAAAAGGGCGCGTCACTCCACCACGGACTCCGGCGCTTCCCTCGGATGTAATCACCGTGCCGCCTCCGTCCTCCGACTCGTCGTCAGAGCTTAGAACTGTGCGTCCCGTCCTCAGGGTCGGGTCTTTTTCCACGACTCCACTCGACGCTCAGGGTCCAGACACCGAGGCACGAAGCATCTCGATTACTGGTACCTTCGAGTCTGCACACCCGAAGGTGAAGGCTGAGTCAATGACGATCTATGTCAACGGAGAGGAGACGACTGTGCCGGTGTCATTGACGGGTAACACGTGGAAGTGGGAGTCCAACGTTACTAAGACTAAGAAAGCCGATAAATACCCGACGCTTCAAAAGGTACCTAAGGACCAGTTCCTCATCATCGTTGTCGCAAAAGCTTCGAACGGACGTTCGGCTGGGTGGTTTTCGTTATTTGATTAGGCCGTTATATTTGAATAAATAGTGTGCTGCCAAAACCAGAGGAATATACCCGTGCTTCAAGCGCAGTGGTCGAGTTCATATTCGCAATATCTCAAAGTCAAAATCTTTTGTGACCAGTTTTTGTGCTCCTTTATATACAGCATATCTGCTAGAGGGAAGGCAGAAGCTGGTTGCTCGATACCCAAATCCCTTACAGCGCATGAAATCACCAATCCGGTATTTAGAGCATACATGTTCGTGTGAACTGTCTGGATCGCCGACGGCCAAATATCTCCTCTCCATTCAACTAATGTAGCTCTCCCATGACGCTATCAGTATTGTCAGAAAGAGACGTAATCAGAATCTCTACGGTGATAACATGTCTCGGCAAGCTTCGGTCATCCAGATCTACCCCTTCGCTGCGCGGTCGCGGTTATTGAGAAATCAGCTTCTAATTACCGCTGCGATATAGTACCTCCCTGTATCCTATTAGAGGACTGTTGCATATTGCTATTGTATGACCAGATAGTCGCATTCGTGGAGGGTATAAACGTACTCTCCCATTCAGGGCTTCCTTTGAATCCCTACAATTTACAAATACGACGTATTCCACGTCAGTCTACGAAGACCGATAGACCCCTGACTAACGTTCCCTAAGTACACCAACTTCCGAAACCACTTTCCTAGATTTTTGCATGCACACTTTAAGATTGGTAGACCTAACATGGCTTGACGTAATAGCTTAGATAGTATGACAGAACCCGTGAAAAAAATCAAAAGTCCGCTGTAATCTCTGCCGCAGCTCGTTCACCAGAGCGGATGGCGCCGTCCATATATCCAGTCCAGTAGGGAGAAGTCTCAGTACCAGCGAAGTGTATTTTGGCAGCGGGATTCCGTAAGAAAGGTCCGTATTTCGTAAGAACTCCGGGGGGACAATAAGCAACGGGCCCGCCACGCGAAAATTCCTCGAGGTCCCATCGTTGTATGAGTATCTGGCTGACATTGGCCGCCTGGGCTCCGAAAAACTTGACCAAGTCCTCTGTGACTCTCCTTTTGATCTCGGTTTGCGGGACCCCGTCCAGGTCTCGCATCTCATCGGCTTCGATAAAACCCATGATAGCACCGAAGCTCTCATTAGCTGGCGTGTTATCAAACGTCGATCGGATGACACCGGTATCGCTCTGTACCTGGCCATTGAAGCCTAGTTTCCTCCACCACGGTTCAGGATAGATCGCGATAGCCTTGCCGATCGAACCCATAGGCATGCGCTGAGTGAGCTGATCCCGACCCGCGGGTAGTAATGGATCGTAAGAAATCCGTCCCGCCATCGGAGGAGACATGGCGATGACGACATGTTTGGCTGATACTTGCACCCTGTCGGATTTGACAGTGTACCTATCACCCTCAAGTTTGACCTCCCGTACTGGCGAATTCAGGAAGATGTTCGCTACCCCGAGCCTCTCCGCCAGCCTCGTCGCCAATAATTGAGTTCCGCCATTAATTCGGCTATCCTGAGCGGCCCCCTTGCTGCCAACAAGACGAGTGATGGTTCCGGCGTTTGTTTGATTACCGGCAGCGGCGATGTATGATAGCATGTACAGTAGAGATGGCTCTGCGATCTCTGTGGAAAGGATGGATCGAGTAGCGGTCTCGAAGAGCAACCGTGAATCTTGCAGAGTCATCCGAGCTTCAACAAAAGATTTCAGGGTTATACCATCCCACACTGGAGCATTGGTATGATTCCAAGGTGCATGAACGTCCAGTTCGCTCGCCAAACCGTCAAGTTCCGTGATAAAACTCGAGAGCTCTACCTGGGCTTCCGAACCCACGGGGGGCAAGCCACCGGTCGCAAGATCCACGTCGTAGGGAATAACAGTGCCGTTTCGGTACAAAATCGATCTTCCAGTCGTGTATGTTGGATATGTTGTCAGGCCAAGTTGAGCTGCGAGAGCGAGCACACGGTCCTGGGTCGGCCCCACGAACTCCGCACCGAGCTCCTGGACCTCTCCATTGGAAAGGTGTGCATTGAGTACACGGCCTCCTACGCGGTCGCGAGCTTCGAGAATAGCAAAGGTCTTGCCTGACTTTGCAATATCCTTGGCTGCGGCCAGACCCGACAAACCGCCACCAACGATAGCAACATCGACATCTCGAGTACTCGCTACGGAGACCACGAGGAAGGGAATAATCGAAATGGCAAAAGGGAGATACATTCAGTAATTTAATTGCAGATCCTACGTAGATAAGTCGGCATCCAGAAGGTGAGTATGTGATAACAGGGGAAGGATTGTGCTTTTTTTTTTTTGCCCTGGGAACATCAACCGTTATATATCACAGAGGATACTCAACTCTTTTTCTTTATCCAGCACACGTGTATGTATGGAATACCCATAGGCATCACGTCACTGCAGGCTACAACGGAGACCGCAGGTTCCGAAATCTAAGACATGACGCATGAGAGGATTGAGACACTACGCCCAATTGGAGGAATAATAGCGCGAAGGGTGACCCTCGAGGTGCTTGGCCGAAGCTGCTGGTCTGCACGACTATTATTTACCAAATTACGCTCACAGGGCTGTAAAGGAGAGGCGAAAAATCATATTGTTGGTTGTCCTCCCAACAATAATCTGGTGTCGTGTGATACCGGGACTCGGCCGCCGAAAACCATGACGCTGACGGGTAGCAAGTAACGAATAATGGAATTATTCGAAGGGGACATGACTATGAAATAGCATAGTGGGTTAAGTCACAGTATATATTGAAGCGTCACATGAGACAGTATTCAACGCCCGGCGTCGCCCCGTAGTTCGACAATGGGCAGAGACTGCGAACTCTTCAGACGTCTCGCCATCCACCATCTACTCCACCATCCCTACCCACGCTTCCTTGAGGTCTTGCTCAACCTTACCTGCTACCGCAAATCCCCTGGTCTTCAGGGTTGTCACAAATTCAAGTGCCCGGGTTCTTTCTTGTCTTGTTTTCATCTCGAAGCCCACAATATTTATGATGGGGATGTAAATAAGTCCCTCAATCTGTGCTGTTTACTAGGCTTCTTTCCGCGTATTCAAACACCTGTATTGCTTGCTGGTGAGCAAGATCGTCATGCATCACAGGAAGGCCACAGCCGAGAGAGGGCCAGGCCGGATGGGCAAATTGTCTTGATAGACCCCGCAAGTGACCACTGGTAATATGGCAACAAAGACAGTATTGCTGGCGGAATAGTAGACGGTGGATGATTTATATACAAAAGAACTGTAGCGACGATAGCACGTTGCAACTTTGATGCGCAGTAGACAATCTTAATACCGCGCATGATATGCTCAGACGTCATATGCCCATCTGCTTCCCGTCATGCAGGGTGACTGCTGATATGCTTCTCATAGAGCTCCTCACATTTCTTGACCCAGCATATTGATCTGTGAGAACATAAGTAATAGACCGCGGACTCTCAAAACAATGTTTAGCCTTACCGGCTTTGTAGTTTAGCCCAGGATTCGAGGTGCATCGCCAGCAGTGCTATATTTTCCTCTACACTGGGCGACAAAGAGTTGCGAGAAGTAGGATGGCCCCGTTCATTTGATCCTGCGCAGACGAGAGAAGACGGCGGCGGTAGAGGTAGGTTTTCACCAAAGCAGATGGCCTGGATAGCACCCGGCCTACTAAATACTTAAGCCTACTAAGTACTTATAAACTACCTTAGGTACTAATAAATTCTTATCTAGCAAGGACACTAGTAGCTATTTAACTCTTATAATAAACAGACGCCAGTGCAATAAACCCTTGAGGCACAGACAGTATCTTAACCAAGCTGGCGTTAGAGAATACCACATCACACGACGGAGCCGCGATAGGGAGACGAATTATGTGTCAATCGTCAAAACAACCAGGCCCACTAGTGCGGTAACTGTCCATCTCGGAGCTTGAGTGTAGGCTGATCAAAGTTGTTGTTGTTGAAAATTGCATCGGCGAGGGAGGATGGCTGGCATAGGCCATCATAGATATTAAAAGCGGGCCGATACCGCATTGCATAGAGCTGCCGTGCGGCCTCTAGTCCTCCCAAATGGCTAGCATCTCGATTTATACCTCGTTGCTCTGAAACTTGCTCTGAGGTTTCAACGAAAATCGTCAAATCCCAACCATCACGCAGCTCTGGTCGCTGGAGGAAGGTGCCATCCACAAGAAGTATAGCATTATCTGCGGCGAGGTGCGGTCGTTGTTCAATAGGCTCATCCTTATCAAGGTCAAACGATGCCGTGCGATAACGTCGATCACCATCTGGTCCTAACGGGGAGAGGAGAAGGGTCTTGATAGCCTGAAGATCACGCGCATCATAGTAATAACCCTCAGCGGAGAAACGGCCGCGCGCATAGCGTTCGATCTTGGGTCTATGAAATCCGTCAATTGAAGTACGAATAACGTTCCTTCCTTTGACTGTGAGGATCTTTGAAAGCTCATCGGCAAGCGTAGTTTTCCCAGATGCTGTTCGCCCGTCGATTGCGACGCGAGTTGGAGAAGATTGGTTGATGCCTAAGATCAAAGATGCAAGCTCTTCAAGAGCCGCAGCCCTTTGCGCAGATGCCATTGCCAAAGTCCTTGGCTAAATAGTAACAGTTTAACATGTTCGGGGATGCTGTCGGGGAGAGGTGGCCTAGTCATGTTTAGAACTAATTTCAGAAGCGGTGAGAACGGTGGGATATAGCAGACGATCTTGCCAGATCGCTAGATCCACCAAGGTGTTTTGAGGAGATTCGATGTATCCATTGCAGGTTTATTACAATACATACGTTCCTGCATAAGGTATAGTCATTACCACCATAGCTCTGCCTAACTGATAGAGTGGTCACCTAAACAGGATTAGTGTATTTCGGATTTATTCTTCGGAAATCAAGTCAAAAGAGTTAAAAAGGTCAAACTGATTTCGAAAACTACTGAACTCTGCAGCCTTCTCACATAATTTTAGGCTGATCACCTCTGCCTCAACTGATGGGACTATCAAGATCCGGGATGCTGCCAGCAGCCATTGCCTGCAGATGCTTAAAGGCTATAGTGAGCTAGTTATAGGGTTGTTATTTTTGCGGGTTGGGCTGGGTTCCCCTATCTTTAGGGCCCAGCCCACTGGGTTTAGGTTATATTTTCTAGAGCCCAAAACCCAGCCTCTAACCCAGTGGGTTCTAGGGGGTCAACCTAAATACAACCTAAAGAACCTAATGGTGGATTTATTTTCTTTTAAAAGTCACAGCATCAATCCGGTGTCCTATAATACCTGTCGGCCTTTGAACACGTCTGCGGTGTCATTGACAAGGCCATCGGCCGCATCCGAAAGGACACAGCTAAATATTTGAATTTGGGTATGGGATTACATAAACTCTTCACAGAATTATCTTACATGTAACCATACAGCTCATTATGATGGCTGTAAGTGAGTCTTCCGTAAGCTCCTATGCCCGTTCGGTGCTCGTGTCAGGAAGAGTGCGTCGAAGTGGACAGGCCTTAACTTCTTTCTGCTCAACGCGAAGCAGAAGGTGTCAGGCGTTGATAATCCCTCGACGCTGTGGAGTATGTTACCTATTGGATGCTCTATGAGCGCCAGGGAAAGGTGCGTATTGCCCGGGATACATTTGAGATTGCGTTTGCGGTACATCGGATCATCGTGCCCGCAGGCCATGAAAAGCCGCTCGCCAAAGACTGAAAGATGTTGGTGAAAGTCAGGATTAGCTAACAGGAGGCATTATATACAGCTCTTCATCCTGTTACCCTTCGATCCTATTGACTTCTCCTATTCTCTGATATCTGTAATACGGAAGCCGCAATTCCAGCAATACTGTTCAATAGCTCCCTTCACCAAGCTACACTGCTGCTCGCCCCATTCTGCTTGCAGTAATATTCCAACTCATCTCCCCCGATGTGCTGAGCCACCGTCTGGCAATAAAAGAGAATGTCGTGATCGCTCTTGAGTGTACAGTCCGGACATCTGTCCCACTGTGCATCTCCCGTGTTGCGGTTCTTATATGCCGCGCATGCCTTCTCCGTCGCTTGTTTGTTATAAACAGTCTATCCATTGTCAGTTGAATTACCCTGGACCTTCAAAGTAGACCGGGGATGCAACGTACCACACCCTTGGCAGGATTGTCAACACAGATACCAGTGTAGTGTAAGTCCGCGAAAACACTTCCAGCTGTTAGTATGGCCTCACTCACAAAGGACATGTCGCAACAGACCTAGCGGCTAGGGTAGCAACAATGAGAGAGATAGAGACCTTCATGGTTGACGGGTATATCAGACAAGAAAAGCTTGTGAAGAAGTGTATAGGACTGAGAATGTGTATTGACTTCTATGGCTTCTATTCCTCAGCAAAGTCGGCAGGTACTTAAAGGCCTATGGAAAGAATCACGAGCATTAACGGTGCGCCATGATCCTCGACAAAGACCTCTGGACCTTGTGATGGGAAAGTCGTATGAATTGATGAGCCCGAAGATTCCCCGTATGGCTTCAACGAGCACTGAGACAATTTCGCCCAGAAGTTTCGTAATGGAGACTAATGGTATGCTGAAATCAATGCATGGTAGAGGACTGCAGCCTGGTGTCTGTTTCACTCTCCGACAAGCAGTAGCTTGGCCCCGATGGCCGTTGAACGGGACGAATCCCTCGTCTATCATCCTATCGGAATCAAACGGCACCTTACAACGGGACGGCCCCGAGTGTGATCGACAACGGAGCTACACTATGATGAATGATAAATGACAGTTCCCAGTGTCTGTTCCGGCGTGAAGCACCGGGTCTCTCTCATTACTCTTGGCGAGCGCCGCAAATCGGACGTTTGGACCGTTTAGACGTCATATGGTCGCATCGAGGTCGGAACTCGCTCGTCAATAAAGTTCCGACAAGTCCAATTCTCCTCCCGTTGGCAAAGATCTGCAACCCACGGCCGTTGTGTCTTTCTGGGCTGACCAACGATAAATGGGACGTGACAGGATGAAGGCGCAGGGTCCACAGGACGATCTTTTTTGACGGAACTCTTTAAGAGACTCCCCTGTGTTCATGGCGAGTTATTGTTGGCCAATCTGTTCGCCCAGGCCAGCCTCTTTGCGTATTAAGGGTCAGTATTTGATCCTTCGGCCCTAATATGTCTCAAATATTCAGCGTCGGTCATTCTTCGGGGAATCCCCTAGCTCGACCATGATAATCCTATACAACTCCGAACAATCGATTCACCATGTGAGACACAGTGTTTGTAGGGGACCTGAGCGTACATATGTGCTGGAATACAGATCTGTTAGCACGGCGTATATCTCAGATCACAATCCTCGGCTTCGTGCTATATGGGCCTGTTCTTCCCCCTATCTTCTATGTTGTATCTTTCCATCTTCGTTCCAAGTCTACAAAAGTCAAATCTGATAACGCATAAAATGAATCTCCCTTTCGTGCTCTTCACAGCCTTGTATGCCAGCTGCGCTCTCGCTGCGGCTCTTCCCACTGATCATGTCGATACCGACAAGGCAATCCTGCTCCTCGCTGATGGGACTACCAAAACCATCGAGAAAACGGACCTCGCCTCTCACCTCAATGGCACCTTTGTCGAGACACCCACCGACAACTTCCCGCGGTCCCTCAAATCCGCCAACTTCAACGGCCTGCAGAAGCGGGGAGACCCCCAAATCATTATCCCGCTTCCTGATCAAGAGTTTCTAGGCTGGGACATTCCCATGTCCACCATCGTCCACGCCAACCAGGCTGACGCCACCGTCGCCATGGCATCAGGCCAAATGATCGCCAACAGCATCTCGGTTGGAACCTCCTTCACTGCAACTGTCGAGAAATTCCTCCAAGTCGGCGTGACCACGAACTACCAGTACACCAAAACTAGCACCCTCACTGGCACGGTGACCATGACCATCCCGAAGAACAAATGGGGAGCGATAGTGAGCAATCCTTTGACGCACCGCAAAAGAGGTTATGTCTTCACTGGCTCGCCTGGCAGCGGACAGTTTGAGTACTACCAGGCAGATTCATTCACCGATGAGACTTATACCTACAATGACGCAACGCTGAACTGGGTGAAGGGCGTGGTGACGACTTGTCTGAGTGATACTTATCCAGTCAAGCGGTGCGTTGGAGAGGGTGAACTCAAATAAGCTCTCTGTTAATTTGCAACGCTTCCTATGAGGTAGAGGTGGGTAACTTGTGATGGAGACCGAAGGTAGCTGCCGAGTCTGGGCGAAAGGTAGCTTCCCGATATGTGACTGAAAGTTGATTTCCCAAGCCTGTAATGTTAGTCGTTAGTCCGAGTAACTTACTTGCACATATGCTTTTTGAGCTGGAGATATGACCGATAATATATATGGCCCGTTGAACTTTCTCTATATTTGACCAAAGTTTGTAGATATACACGGGCTGTTTGATCGCTCAAGCGCTTGGTTTGCTTGCTGCAACTGCTATTCCTCATGTTAGCTAAAACTACAACCAAAACCAAACAGAAGTGTGCATCAACTGGTAACTCTCCAGGTTGCTCGAGTTCCAGAGCCGTCTGCAAATTACTTTACTGACAGATGAGCCAAATTCCCGGGTGTCTTTAGGCTCTAGGGTGCATCTAAAAACCTACGAAATGCTGGATACTATTTCCGCCAATCTGTGCATTAAGTAGCAAAGCACAAGTTCCACTGGTCTCGAGATGCAAGCCCCTCCCTGCACAGTAACGGTATAGACTTATTGTACACCATCGCAAACCAAATGCATGGATCAATAGCGCTTACAGACATCTACTAGTCTACAGACCCTCCCAGAGTAGCATAACCAATATACATCGCATGTTGACGGACGAGGGTATGGAAGGTGGTTAGCGCCCAGCGCTCTATTCCCCTAGTTAAAATGCAGATTAGGTGGCGGCTTTGGACCGAATGATGTTATACCAGTGTTCCGAGCGAGCGCTGCATATTGGCCTCATCATAGTTTATAACTCTAACTCTGCATGACTATGCTATATCTTGTACCTAAACATCGGCCTTATAGAGATTTGGTTCTTGAGATATCAAAGCATTGAAGTTTGCAGGGAAGCAGGATGTACAATCTGGAAGTAGCAATCAAGAGGCAGATCAGCAGTCGCTCAGAAATGCAGTTGCAATAGTGGTCCTTTAGCACAGTTCCAAAGTCGTCCAAAGAATGTTACTGACGCAGATGAGCCGAAATCTCACTTCCCTTTAGGAGAGGCGGTTCTAGGACGCAAAGAAATAGGAGGCTCAGGACTGAGCTGCCTGGAGAATTTAAAATTGATTTCTGTCGCCAATTTGCAATCTGGCATAGTGCTAAGGAACGCGAAAGATGGCTTGTGGGTAAGATGAAGTGCTCGTTGCTTGTAAAACACCTGAGTCTCAGCCTGGACGCAGTGTCTACTTTCAGACAATGAGCACGTATTTATAGTTCGCAGACTTACACTAAGAATTGAGCGGACGAGGCAAGAAGTTCGGCTTCTCACTAGAGTACAGAATGCAGTGGCCTGCATGGTCGAATGGATGTCCTCGTTTACTGTTACTGGATCCAAACCGCCAATGGCCAATTACAGAGAATCAGAGCGGGAACGTTTCCATCCGAGTTCGCCTTCGTATTCTCGTATTCGTAGTCTCGTACTTCTAGTCTCGTACATGCGGCGCAGTATTGGCTCCACAGGTCTAAGGTAAGAGGCGCTCTCAGTCAAACATCGGACTGCCACTCGGATTTCTTCGACTGTTTAGCCGTGCGTGAGTCATGTGCTAATGCTCCACGTCAACACCACCGGCCCCATCAAACCGTACTCCTGATACGGCGTACTAGCATACAGCGGCTGTAGCTCTCCCGCTGTCGACCCGGCAATCTTAGTTTGGTTTGCATCCGTCTTGATCCGATTGAATAATGGAGTTGTCACTTCCACTATGATCTTATATGTCTGACTGGGACTGATGTACGAGGATATGTCAATGACTGGGTTGACTGGGTCAATTGGAGGAAGCCTCCGTCCTCCGATATAAACGCGAGCAGTGTGAATGATCGGACCTAGCGATAGCTTGCCCTGTATGCGAGGGACGTTCGGTACAGTGAAGCTCGTCGAATATCGACCAATGCCTCCCACGTTGACCAATGCAGGAGAGATAGCGCTCCATGGTCTGAGGGCGATGTTGGAGAAGTTGTGCGATGTGATGGCTGTTTGGACTTGAGAGCGGCGGCGTGGAGCGTGAAAGTCTTCGATCGACAGGTCCCAACGTGTCAGGTTAGCTATGCCGTATCGACTTGATGTACTGCTGCTTGCAAGCATGATCAAGTCTGTAGGACCACTACTGCCGCTCTTCTCGAGACTTAGAATGCTCGTCTCATTTGGCGCGAACTGTAGAGAAACCGTGATCACTGCCGACCTTCTCTCAAATGAGCCGATCATCTTTTTCTCCCCAGTCCAAGCATTGAGAAGGTGCGGTGTTCTCGCTCCATGGTCTTGGATGCTGATTTGGCATGAGGTGGAGGCGAGTTGATCGTTATACAGAAAGACATAATCTACCTCGTCTTCGGGTCTGGACCGCTTCATCACGCGCAGCGTACCAGTAGTACAGCTTGGCAAAACATTTGGCGTGACTCCTGCCTTACTCAGGGCACTAGGGAGATCTGCAAGCGAGGAGATAAACTGGACGGATGGCAAGTTTCGTATCTTACGCCACCCGTCCTCCACAATTTGACCAGCCTGAGTATTTGATGTCACCTGCGGTAGGCCACCAACAAATACCACGGGTAGTCCCTTTCGAGCAAACTCTACCACTCGTGCCGCCACATCTTCCCGAATAAGATTGAAAGTAGTTATGTTGAATTTGGGCGAGGCAAAAATCAGGGCCTTATAGCTTGGACCGTCTGGAGCAAGGACTTTTGCTCGAACAGTAACCTGCGGTGGAACGAGGTTATCGGGCGCAACGTAATCGTGAGTGTAGCCTGGCAATAAATGTCAGCTCCATCTTGGAATTCATCAATTAAGAGCCTACCAGCAGCGGTTATATTGCTCGAATGAAGCAGGTCTACGGCGCTCCACGGGGTCTCGTACAGATACAGCGCCAAATCGATCTGTGGACGGCCCTGCTGCAATACAAATTGATTCCGCGAGATATAATCCAGGTAGTCCTTCATATGAATCCAAGCAGGTTGGATTTGATTCCACATCTCGGTGAACCTATAGCCGAAGGTCGTATATCCAGGCCATGTCGTATTGGGATAATTGCCAGAATAGGTGTACCCGTGCAGGACGACCATGTTGACACCCCCGGACCAGGCTCGTTTGATGGAATATAGAAGCTCTGGTATTGTGAGCATATAGGCCGGCTTATTCACTGCCCCCATTTCATTTGAGATGACGTTGCGATTACTGATATGAGCGGGCCCACTGAATTGGCGGTATGCATCGACGTTATCACTGAAGCCTAGCGACTCACATTCCGGCGCATCGGAGAGAGAGATATCACCCAACTGCACAGGTCAGAGCCATCTTGGTGTGAGTAAAGGAGACGTACCATTTCAAGTGGCAGATTATACGCGGGCTGATTCGAATACTGGATCCCAACTCTGTTCGCCCACTGACTGAAATGGGCAATATAGTCCTGATATCCGGCATTCAGTGTCCGACGATAATCCGCATTACACGCACTGTCCTTCTGATCACCAAGTGTGTACATCTCATTGTACGAGGGCACAATCGCATTCCAGTTATTCTGTGGCTTGAAAAGAGCTGGCAGACATGAAAGAGCGCTGTACCCACGGTCCTGCTCAAACCTGCTCAATAGACTCGGCGTCCAGTATAACGATGAGAGCATCTCCATGCTGTCCTCCCACGCTACAAAGTCATCAGTGGCGTTCTTATGAAGAACAAAGGAGCTCACCGTACCATACTGCCCCACATCTTGCAGAAAAGTCAAGGTTTGTTCGTCACTCAAAATATGCTGATCCCAGAAATCGGTGATCAATCGCGCTCCTATGGCATCAAAATGGTCAACAGTCCAAGAACCATTACCAATAACAGTGGTCGCATCGCGACCACCTGTGCAGCTGCGTTGGTTGGTATGCTTGACCCAGAAGCTGAAGACACGCCAAGTTGAATTGCCCAACGGTGCTGTCCAGTCTAGTAGACCGTCCTTCACTTTGGCAGACAGGTCAACAAACGACAGTGGGTCCAGTGCTACAATCTTGGAACCGCCGCTTGAAGAGTCTGCACAGCGTTAGATAATGAGAGAATATTCATCTACATGATGTTACCATTAAGCACTTGGTACGCAATGACAGCAGTCAGGTTAGGCGTGCCGAAATCCTCTAGAGGGTGCATAAATGTCAAGCCCGATTGCAGCACGGATGACAATTCGGCTGGCGGCGGAACTGTGGAAGAATAACGTTGACCAGCGTGCACAGATGTGCTTCCCAACAGCTTGACTCGGCCGTTATTATCTGGCCCATCCTTGGAACGGAAAATGAAGAAATACTTACTAGTTGGACGGCCAGCCCCGGTGTTCCTGGAACCGCAGGGACACCCTGTCCTTGGTTTGCGCCTACCGCGAAGTCCATACGGACCTTACTTTCCTTCGAGCCATTCAGAGCAGCCTGGAACAGGTCGTTGAAAGCCGGAGTGCCGAACCCATATACATTCCAGTCTGAGGGCGGTGTAGCGTTCATGCCCTGTGCTGTCGGAAGGCCATACAAGTAGAAGGGCAACAGTTCGATGCCACCGCCCCCAGCTTCAGCGATACGGGCGATATCCTCTTGGACGACGTCGGCAGAGACACTTGCATCAGGTAGCCTGCTTCTTGTCAGTACCTCACGGTCCGAGGGTAGGAAAACCAGACCAATAGCGGAATTTGGGACGGTAAACGACATCCGGGTTAACAAAGCCGGAGTTGACGCCAGAGGCAGATACTGCTACGGCTGCAAGAAGCGTATACAATGCTACCGCGCCACTTTGTACAACATATAAGGCTCTCATGTTGGTTTAGCCTCAGTTATTTTGGACTGGATTTCACAAGCAAACTGTGTTTGATCAGAATCTAGGCTCCATCTTCTCGTGGTTTGAAGAGCTCCAGGTTATTTATGGCCGCAAGGGGTATGTATTCCCTTGAGAGGATTGACCATATCTCGGCATTAATTATCACGAAGTGCGGGCGGTTTTTGGGATCGACAGCGATACTTCTCGGATGAAATTGCGGGGAAGTGGAGTCATGTTATCGACGTCCCACGAGGTAGCGGCCAGTAGAGGAGTCTGCCCGTCCCCGTCCTGAGCGCAAGTCTGTTTGGGCCTTTATTCACCGATAGCCATCACAGCCGATCAGTGCATGAGACCTGTGCGGGTTCGGTATCTAATACTGAACCAGTACTTTCCGCTTCAGAATAGCTAAATTACGACTTCTCTGGGAAGCGAAGGCAGGGTGACTAGGGCGGCCTGCATCTCTGGGGTACTGCTCCATGTTCTTAGCGGATCCGCATTAAGTGTACTCGGAGGACCACCGCGGTTTCCCTTCAGCGGCTGAACTATGGGGTATATTGTTCAAAGGGTTTATTTCCATGTCCAGAGAGGGCTTTTCAATGCAGTGGAATATCCGTACTCAAAGGCTGCGTTTATTATTGGAGTCTTCTGACCCAAAGAGACAATTATAAGTTACAATCTGTGAATTGAAGCAGGCAGGAAAACACAGGGCTGCTCTGTAGGCCAGACTCATTCAAGCATCTCCCAAAAGAGGGAAAGGCTGTGGTTATGCACTGATGGCGCAACACTCGGTGTTTTGTATCTACTTCATTCCTCCAGTCAACATAGTGAATTAGCGCTAAGTGGATCTTACACAGCCTAAACGTGATGTATGCTCTAGAGCAGTGATAGATAATCTAGACATCACCACCTCTCTAAACTACACCTATACTAATTACCACCTCTTTCAAGCAGCATCGCCCCCTATCACCCAAAAGTGCACCCACCCAAGTATTGACCATGTTCAATCCACATGCCAGCCAGTTAATAGTTGGGTGGGTGACCAATAGCGAATCCCGGCTGTTATATAGCCACTACGACTATTTGGTCTGGGCGCAGTGAAGATTCTAACCGAGGAAGAGGTACAGAAACTTGTAGCCCGGTCTGATTCAAATAAACACAATTGAAGAACTTTCCTGTAGTTGAGCACAGGAGGAACTTCACGAAATAAGAGTGAATTGAATGGGATACCTCATTCTCGGGGATGGACCACCACCGTGATAGGCCTTGCGGGCTTCACATCCGTGGAAAGCATCCAGAGTTTCCGAGGTATGGGTTCTCGTGTTGTCCCTCACGAGGATCTGGTATATATTGATCCGCTAGTGTTTATTCAACTATGAACTGGCAGAGTCTGCTTATTGAGTGTTCATCTTGCCCTTATATAAGGAGTACTTTGCTATAGCTATGATAACTACTGTGATAAGAGCCTATACTTTGAGAAAAGTGTGCATTCTGCAGCGAATACTGAGACAGGAGAGAAGAGAGAAGGGAGGAGTGTGGGAGCTGACATGCCTGCCTTCATACCCCTCAGTCTCCGCTAACCAGTTCGCTCAAAAACTAAACACTTTATCGACACACTGTTTCCTAGTGTCACAACTACTGTCATGTCCTCCGTACATCCACCACCACCGGAATATATGTAGTGCCGACACCCTTGACAACGGTGATGTTGGTTGGATGGACGCTTCAACGCTTTCGTTCTGTTCCTCAGGTGCTTCATTGCGCCGTACCTCTCCTAGGCCTCAATCAGCATAACCAGCCATACAGGAGTTGCCATAACTAGACGCCCACCAGACTTGAAACACTGTGAGCATGAGCTCCAGGAGTGACTATACCAGGAACACTAATGCAATCCACAGGCGAGTGAACCACCTCAAACGACCATCATCAAGCCGTGCAACGCATTTACGAATTCCTGAGAGGGCTTTTTTATTTGTAAAGAATCAGCATAGCTATTAGATCATGAGATGCGTTTCTGCTGCTGGGATTGTCTCATTGCGGAACAGAAGACCCGGCTGCGTTGATTGATTATCTCGAAAGCCATGACACCGCTCTCGAGCCTTGAGTGATCTGAAGGCTTCTTCTATCTAAAGGTTCGGAAAGAGCGTTGTGACGGGTGTTACTTATAATTTTGTAAACCCCTACCCATATTTTTCCTCTTCAGGCTCTGTCTGGCCGCCGGGTTTATTCTTCAATTCGATACGTAGACGTCAGATACTGGGATAAGATGATGAGAAGAAGTAATAACTTCATTGTTGGAGCGTGATACCTTAGCTTCCGCTCCTCCCACGGATAATTCATCTCCCAATATCACCTTTGTCTTGCGTAATGTTTCAAGAGATCTTCTTGGGAGGACTATGGTTGTGTATCATCCTCTAAGAAAACAATTGCCTTCCCACTCTTCAAAAGCCCCCTTAGCTTCTGTTCGCTCGACCGGTACCTTTCATATGCTGACACGAATGGCTGACTGATTGTGCTGCGCGATTCTCCATCAAAAGGTTCGTCTTCGATAACGTGGGAAACGAGGCAACCGTGAACACAAACCTTAACTCGATGTGTCTTTCCATTAGGAACTGATTGAATACATCCATCAGGCCTTTGAGCTTCCATGTATTGTGGGTCAAATATATCCCCTGCCTTGACTTGCATGAGCTCGTAGCGAGTGCCCCTAGGCGGCACACAGCGGGCTCGAAAGTGAAACGCCGTTGTGAAAACTCGGTTCAAGGCAGCCCGAATATCTTTGTCGAATATTCCCATTTTTGAAGCATCAATTAACGGGCTAAGAAGTCGCAGGAGCTCGCACTGGACTTCTTCAGCTTGCGACTGAACCCAACAATCTCGAAACGGATGGTTTTCCTCCAGCATTAGCTCAAGAGCTGCTCTGTGGAGGTTTTCGAGAGTGCCGCGCGGAGCTTTGTCATGTCTCAGTAACGACTCCTAATGGATCATATTGCCCGAGACTTACTGATACGTTGAATTAATTCCTGATATCCCCTTAACATGTAGCCTTCGAGTTGCAAAGCAGTCCAACGACCCGAGTAGAAAACTCGCTCTCGTGTAAAACCGAACAGTAGAGCGGAAAAGGCATGTTTCGGGTGAGAAGCCAGAATACTCATTTTCCCAAGACTTGACCTGATCATCGCATCTAACTCTGGGCTTTTGCGTGGGGCTTTCCGTAGGGTTGAAAGTTGTTTGTCGGAGAGACATTGAACAAGGAGCAGAGCCGCTTGGCTAATTGCGGTCTCCAGCTGAGCCAAGCCCTCAGAGAAGATCACTGAAACATTATTTTCGTCTTGTGAGTCTCTCAGTACAGCGCTCAATCCTTCTGCGGTATTAAGTTGCTCTTCAAGCGACGAATTTTGCTTGATCTTCTCCTCGATTTCCCTGTTCCTCCTCTCTAACTCCGCACTGAGTCCCTCCACCTCATCCGAAGCACAAGATCCACTGGGCATGGCCTCGTGCTGCGTCTTATACCAATCTAGCTTGTGACAGAGAGCGAAGTTTTCCTCCTGCAAATATCTGATATCTTGCTCCAAAGTTGAAGTTATCTTGTTATGGTGTAGGCCTAAGAGATCGATTTCTCGTTTCAAGAGCTGGATTTCTTTCGCGGTTCCTGCCTCTGAAATAGCCCCATCTCCGCTGCCAAAAGGCGCTGCGGGCATCCTTTTGCCTTGTCTTAATTCTGCCATACTGTCGCTCAGCTCATTCCTCGCATTTAGGCTTTCACCATGCGAGAAGGACGTGGCAGATATCTGAAACTTCCATCGTCATTGACTTCCAAGCCTCTAGAAGTGAATAACCCTCTTACCTCCGATTCCAAACCAGAAACCGTTTTGTGTTCGGAGATACGGTTACCAGGATATGAACCAGCAAGTCGCATTCGTTTTTGGGCATCTGTATCTGCCTCGCCAGAATAGAGCTCCGGCTCTGGAAAACGCCTTGATGGTTTCCGATTCCGCTTTTGGGTCAAAATAAAAGATTCAGAGTAGTCTGCGCTGCGAGATTCCTTTGGAGATTCGGAGCCCCAACGCCACCACCACTCTGGCTTTCTGCGGTCAGAGGGGACAGTCGCAATGGAGCTGGATGGAATGGGAGATGCGCTGAGAGATGCGCTGGGAAATCCCATATCGTCCATATTGTATGACCGCCGCTCCTTCCTCGGATGAACAGGGACGAGGAAAAGAGTCGTCAAATCGGCAAGATTCAAATCCTTCCAACAATTGTTTTCACGTGAGGCGATCAGGAGGAAGAGGTGGGCAATTTGGGGCTAAAGATAGGCAAGGCAGACTCGACTTACCCAATTAATCACTAGTAGCAACAAAACCCCTGCTAGAACAGCCTCCACGTGACGGTGTCACAAATGGTACTTTATCCTATGCGTCCCTTGCGCTCACGGTGAAAATTTTCCCCCAGATAGCCTCTCAACTCCTCCAAGTAGCCCCCAAAATGTCAGGAAGATCAAGATTGTCAACGACTTTGGCGCACAGAAAACGGCGAATTCAAGACATTTCAGACGCAAATGATGCCCTATTTACTCCATCCGTATCCGACAGCGACTCCGTCGGGCTTCGGCCTACAACTCCAATGGAGACACCAATCCTGAGGAAGAACGGCCAAGATAATATGACTTATATTGTAGGCCTAGACTTTGGAACAACCATGACATCAATCTCATACTACCGATTTAAGTCAGGCAAGCGTCCTGCAAAAGTACCTCAGAGTCAAATCAAGGACATCACCGACTGGCCATCCGCTGGCCGGGATCAGCAGAGAGGGGAAGTTCCAAGCGAGAGCCTATACCTTGACGGCAGCTATTACTGGGGATATCAAGCCCGCCAGAAACTGGAACAGTTTCACTACAGCGGAGGAACATCAGGTCTGGCCGGCAGACTCATAAGGTTTACAAAGCTTTTGTTGACCGACGCTGAGTTGAGCGAGGAAGATGAGACAGACAATCAACTTCGAGTAGTGAGGGAAACACTCAGGCATCTGGGTAAAACAGTACATGATGCCGTAAAGGATTACCTGGTTGAAGTATTCCGGTTTGCAAAGGACTATCTCACAGACGAGGTGAATTTCACCGAATCAAGCGAGGTAGAGCTTTCCCTGTCTGTTCCTGCAGGATGGCCGATAGAGGCTTCATGGTCATTGCAACAGATCGTGAGTGAAGCTGCAAACGAAACTACTTTCGGTCAAGTATCAAGCTTCTTTATAATAAACGAGCCAGAAGCTGCTTCTGCATTTGCATTGGATCATGTGGTTGGGGGTACAAATGTCTCAGTCAGTGATATCTTTGCATCAACGAAATTCTGAAAGCAGGCTAAGTTTTCCGAGTATACAGAGAGGGGAGACGTTCATGGTATGTGACGCCGGGGGAGGCACAGTGGTAAGCACCTTGGAGAAACGCTACTCTGGAGAAGCACGCTAACGGGGCGAAAAGGATGTAACAACCTACACCGTGGGACACAAAAGTCCATTCAGGCTGACTGAGGCAGTCCCACCCTGCGGTTAGATTCTTGGTTCTTCCCTCAGGAACATTTTGGGTCTAATTCCTTATACAGGAGGAAACTTTGGTTCAACGTGTGTCAATCGGGCCATGGAATCTGATCTTGTAGAGGATCTAAAAGATGAGCCATGCTTTTCCCAGAACAAAATATCGATGGAGCATCAGCTTTCTCACAATCTGTTCCGCAAATTTGAAAACGACGTGAAACGAAATTTCGATAATGGAGATGCCCTGCAAGGAGACGCTTATTTGGAATTGTACGGGTTGGACGAAAACCCTTCTAAGGGGTTTGGAAGAGGCATGATCATTCTCAAGAGGTCTGTTGAGATCAGCTTCCCTCCATACGTGCACGAACTCAGTCACTAAATTTCTAATGCACTACGTTCCAGGGACCGGGTCATGGAATGGTTTCTGCCAAGCCTCGAAGGCATCGCAGGTCTCATCCAGCAACAGCTTGATGCTTGTGCAAGGATTGGACTGAGGGTACAGGTAAGATTCTGCGAATGGAAAAGCGCTGGATGAGACACTGGGTAATGAAGTTCTCATAAACAGAAAATCATCCTTTTCGGTGGTTACGCTCGGTCGAAGACCCTTCAAAGCTTCTTGAGGCAAAAGTTTTCGAGGCATCCTAAGGTCGTCAGTCCAAAGGCTGGGTACGATCTTGCATGTCGTTTGGAATTGACTCTTCACTGACCGTTCTATGCCAGTGTCTTTGAAACGACTGTGTCACGAGGGACGGTATACCGCGCTATTGATAAAAGCAAAGGGCCACTGCGTCAAACTATTGCGAACATTGGCATACTTCAAACTGAGCCATATAATCCCAAGAAATTTGCGGCCCATAGAGAGGCTCCACCAGACAGGAACGGTCTTAACAAGAAGAAGTATGTCTATGGTACAGTACAGTGGATCATAAAAAAGGTTGGTTCCTTCTTTCTTGCTTTAGGAGTTCATACTAACCACTTGCAGGGACAACTCGCGGACTATAATGAATCGGTCCAGGAGAGTAACCACCGAGTCATTCCAGTAGATCAGCCTTGGAAGATCAAACAATCCATCTATTACAATCCATTAATTGAAAATCCCCAGGACCACTACCCTGTGGACCATCCGAAGAATGCAGGTGAGTGATATAATATGGCTTAGCTGGTTCTATGTTTGGCATGCGTTGAAAATTAACTCATGCGCCAATTAGGTTCCCGATGGGCAGACACGGTGATGTTTGACCTAACCAGCGCGAAAGAACGATACCCATTACAAGCAAAGGGTCAAGGAGATGACAGGCATTACGAAGTTCACTATGAGTTATTGGTGGAGCTTCATGGTCGCAATCTGAAGGTTTCAGTAGTATATCCTCCCGGAGGGGAAGTCCAGGGTACTAAGGAGATTGTCGTTGCCGCTTGCTTTCGTCCTGGTACAGAATAATGGTTTTCTATAGCATTCCAGGGACACCGGGACCTCAGCGAGATATCGGCAGCTCGAGGATGTTTAGCTTCCGACCTCAATTCTTGCTTGATCTGGTAGCTTTTGACTGTTTTCTATTTCGGTATAGCCAACTTCTGCTCTCCCACTCTTTTGCTTTCTTGCTTTCACCTTTGGCAAATTGAAATCTCTACAACTAAAACTCTCACATATATTTCAAGTATATTTCAAATTAGTTAAATTAGTTACTCATGTTCTCACTCACACCACTTTCAGTGCAGACTTGGCCGATTCTTCATTCTAGCAGATAATCATTGGTAATGATGCACTGTCACCTGGGCGATCAGCTTGTTGCTCCATCCCTAGCTGCTTTTGCAAGCTCTGCTTCCAATCAATGAACGCCTCGAAGTCTGCTTTGGAATTCCACTCTCCCTTGAGTTTAATTGGGATGTTCAAATATCGGAAGTATCTCTCGTCCCATATGTCTGTTACGACCTGCATAGTGCGAAAGTATAGACCATGCCTCCATAATGTGCTCGGAAGTTCAAGAAGGTCCTGGTGATTTAGCGGACTATCGAATACATAAAGACCGCGTTTCGGAAACTCTTTGTTCTCGGATATTCCATCAACCATGACACATTTCCATCGCTCCTCACGGACGAGAGGCGGTAGCCTGGGCCACATCTGGATTTCATCACCTCTGTACACGATGTTTTGTTTGCTTTGAAGATGTGAGAAGGCAATGTATGGGTCGCGCGGCTGTCTTTGTCCAATTCTGTGATTTTTATAGATGGATGATACCAAGTTGATCAGATACGGCGACTTATCATGGCGAAATCCAACGCGCAGCTCATTAGATCTAGTCACCAACAAGTGGTTGGGTATAGCTCCATCTCTCTTATCGAAGCCACTGGAAATGCACAGCATAGAGACCGCTGCCGTCAAATTGTCCATAATCGACTGATTCAGTATGCGACAAAGCAGAGCCTCAATCGCTGCCGTAGAGACGATTGGATTTTGATGCATCTCAAGATTTTGGAGGGATTCCATTCTTAGAAGAAGCTTCTGCAAAGCTCCTTCCGAGATGCAAAGACATGTGAGTTGACGAGTAGGCTCCCACTTGTGAGACACAAACATGTGAACTGCGATTCTAACATAGAAAACTTCATCATGTTGAGATCCATCCCGAGGTAATCGAGCCTCTGTCGTCCAAATATTCTCCAAAATACCCAGGGTCTCCGCACTAACTCTCCATGAGCTGGAAAGACATTTCAACATGTCTTGAAGCCAGGTCTGAGCCTCCTCAATTGATGCAAAGGACAGCAAAAAGTCGTCAACGTCACTCTCTAGGAGTTGAAGTGCGAGGTAGTGGGACTCAAGAATGGACGCATCCCGAATAGCTCCTTCTGGACAACTAATGTTGAGATAGTCCAGATTATGGTGTACACTGGTCATTGAAGCTGAAACCGTTGGTGTTGGTGTACCTTGAGCATGAATCAACCAACTCGAGATACTTCGTGCCCGGGAGATGGTTGAAAATACGTTCGTATCGCCGGCCGTGATATCGCCCGTAGATAAGGTGTTCAGTTCAGCTAATATTGCGGGTCGGTAAATATCGCGAGCCCAATCAAATATATAGTCAATGATCAGAAGGAGTTGCAAGGCCCCATCTTGGTAGCGAATGTTTCCACTCCACAAATCAACAACAGGCTAAGAGGTCTCAGTCCAGTGTGAACCTTCTTCTTGTGACTGATGACAATTAACTCACGTATCTCGTTGATGTATTCTCGGATTCAATCACAAAGGCCGCAGATAAATCCCAAATTTCACCCCGCCATGCTAAGAACCAGACAAGTGGCCCTGATTCCCATTGAGTTTCTTCTCCCGTCGCTAATTTAAGGTCAAGTTGCACATTTAGGAGGCGCCTAATCACAAACGCTGTCTGCATGTTGACCTCCGCTCGATCCGCTCCTTTACTTGACTTTGCTTCAATGATCAGAAATGGGTAAAGCAACGGCTTACCTTCTGGCTGAAATGGACTGACTTCTATGGTTTCACGTAGCGACAGACTAGATGTAGTCGTGGCACCGCGCTTGTCATCTGAGTCCAGAAGCAGCTTGAAGTTATCAGTTTGCTTTAATCCATAAACTCGGTCTGGCTTTTCATAATGTTTCCTCTTTTCGGGCTGTGAAGTCACAGGTAAAGGGGGATCATGCCGGATTTTCTCTTCTGCTCGATCAGAGAAGAGCATATTGATACCGCTATCATACCTGGTGCTAGATAAACGACTATACAGTAAGTGGAATTGGGAAGACTTTTTACTTACTGGTTTTGACCCCAGGTAGGTGGACATCGGCATGGCTTACGCTTCTGGCGTCGGGTTTGGAGCGACTCCACCAGCATGAGGTCACCGCCAGTTGCAGCGGGTATCTCTGACTCCCACAATCTGTTACGACATTTAGGGCTAAAGTTTATAAGCAAGGATCTTGTTAGCAAAGCATTATTCAAAACCGATCTTTTTTGCATTTTCTCACCAAGCAACCTCGACCGAGAATCGATGCATTATCTCGTTCTCGACAGCGAACCTCCAGCTACTTTCATTTTTTCGTTCTTCCCAAGCGTAGTCTGCCAGTTTACGCAGGCGGTCAGCGCGGCGTCTCACTAAATTTCTCCAGGGCTTCTCGATAGAGTCAATTGAGATACTCTCAACGAAATTATCGTATGTCCGACGGCCGAGCTTGTGGACATCCGCGAAAAGTCGCTCGTGAGTTTGTGGCCACCGAGCTCGCTCCACCGGACCGAGAAACTCTATTCCCAGCTCATCCGCCCACCTCAAGCGGAGGTTATATTCATTAGGGCTCATTGTTGCCTTCGGAGTCGATTACTCTTGTTTGTTTGAATGTGGTGGTAGTGTTATGATGACGGGAGGAACCACGATACCCCGCACTGAAATATGCCTAATGACCGAATTGGCCTTGAAACCAAGGCAGCAAGTCATTTAATCTCACGCGAGACAGCCAAAAGTCCCAAGACACTAGTGGGACTCTTGTCGGGTCCAGACTAGACTGGCTTACAGGTGATCTAGGGTCTCTGAAACTAATAAGCTTATCTACCTAGATCTAGGCCTAGGTAGATAGAAATAGTCATATCTATCTCATATATGAAATAGAATATAGATTTACTAAAAAAAACTAGAGTTATAGTAGTTTTTAGATTTTAGAAGATGGTGGTTAGGATAGTGAAGGTAAAATACATATATCTCTCCGCTACCTTTCAGCCTAAGCTTAGGGGGCACCCTTACTCCCTTATATCAGCCTATTTTAACTTCTATAATAGGTAATATATAATAT